ATATTATACTTTAATAATTATACTTTAAAAAATTATATCAATTATTTTCTTTCCTCTGTTTTAAGTTCAACTAAATATTCACTTTTGAACTTTGGGAATCTCTAGATCAGGAAAAGTCCACAGAAATTTACCCAAATAAAAAATCCACCGAAAAAAAAAACAGAAAAAGAAAGAAAGAAAGAAAGAAAAATCCACAGAAAAATTACTAAGACAAAGGCAGGCCAAATTCCTATATTCTCTTCCATTGCCTATTTTCAAAAAAATACTCCTATATACTCTGAGCTTCCAACCCCGTTCTCATTATTTCTCTCTCCCCTTCTCGCTCTCATTTCATTCGGTGATACCTCAGCGATGGCTCTGCAATTATGGGAGACTCTGAAGGAGGCGATTACAGCCTACACGGGTCTCTCCCCGGCGACCTTCTTCACTATCCTGGCCCTCCTTTGGGCCATATACTACGTCGTAACTGGTTTCTTCGGTTCATCCGGTGCTCCTACTCAGCGGTCCAGGGACTTTGAGGAGATGGAGCCGCTTCCCCCTCCAGTCCAGCTTGGCGAGGTCACCGAGGAGGAGCTCAAGCAATATCGGTATTATAAATGGATCAAGTCAATATTTAAAACTAATAAAGAAATTGAACCATTTGAATCAATAAAATCATTCAAACTGATGCAAACCATTAAACTATTCAACTGGATGGTGTAGTGGTAGTAGTCCGAGATCGCAGTAGTCCGAAGTCACAGTCCAATCTCACATAGCCCGAGGTCAAATCCCTTAGGCGCCTGGACCGACTTCAAATCTAGTCACCTTGGAAACAAGGAACGACGAGCTCGTCCAAGCTCGAGTTCAACCCCTTTGATACTACTCTACAGTAACTCCGTACGTGCAGGGATACTGTAAGGAAACCTTATGGGATCATCGACACATACAATCCTGATTTCTCATGAAGAACAACATGCGGATGCCCCCCTTGAAGGCTATAAATACCCCCCAAGGGTCCTCCTTAAAGGTAACTTTTGAAAGATCGAACTCAAGCCTAGCCCTTGATTCACATTGGATAGCTCTGATTATTGCTGACTTAAGCATCGGAGTGTCTACCCCAAGGACCCACCTCGAGGCTTTGCAGGTCTACCGAAGTGAGCAAACAGGATCCCGAAGTACCCAAGTTCTCTTGCAACTACATTGGAGCCGTCTGTGGGAATCCGAGCTAAAAACCTTGGTTATCGGTTGTCACAATGGTGAACACATGCTCAACACAACACGGAAGCCCTCAACAAGGGCGTGGCAGAGGTCAACTTCCCGGTGGGAATCCCACATCTCATACCGCACCACCCTCTACAACCCAACCTCAGCCTATAGAGGGAACCAGGGAGAACAACCCAAATTCAACAGAAAACCTAAACCCTATAGCCACCCAACTCAATGTCATGCAACAGCAGTTTGGCGTGTTTCAGCTTGTGCTTGCGCAATTGTTAGCCAGGGATAATCCAGGCGACCCCCTCATTGCCCTACTCAATCCCACCAACCAACTACCTACCCAACAACCTCAACACAATGTGACCTCACCAGCCCAAACTACAACTCTACCTCGCAACGACTCTCCAGCCCACTCACACATGGCACCTCTACCTCAGCCACCACCTCAGCCGGCCGTCTCAGACCTTCCCAAGGGGAACTCCGAAAAAATGCTACCCGACAAACGAACTCCACAAACTCCGACCCTCCCGAGTTCCGTCCCAATCCCTACCCCCCTCAATTCCAACATTCTCCAAGAGCCGTACCCATCAGGGTTCCGAATGCCACAGCTTGAAACATACGATGGGACTAAAGACCCCAATGACCACTTGCATGCCTTTTGCTCCGTTATGAAGGCTCAGAATGCCTCAGATGCCTTGATGTGCAAGATATTCCCTTCTACATTGCGAGGAAATGCTCGGACCTAGTATTATAGCTTGCAGCCAAGCTCGATCAGTTCCTACGCCGAGCTGGCGACGTTCTTCGCAACCAAGTTCTCCAGCCGTCGGTTAATTAAGAAGACGACCTCCGAGCTCATGCGAGTGGCCCAGAGGGAAGGCGAATCCCTTAAAAATTATATGAATAGATTCAACGATGCAGTGCTCGAGATCAGCTCTTTCAATCATGGTGTGGGGTTGGCTGCATTGATCGCGGGCCTCAAGCATGACAGATTTCCGGGATAGCCTGATCAAGCACGCGCCTACCACCTTTGATGAGGCCAACGAAAGATCGTGGAAATTCATTCAAGCGGAGGAATATGCTTTGTCCAGCAAAGCAACCCCGAGTAAAGAGGTCAGACCTCCGGCCTGGAGAGATGAAGGGCAGAACAAAAAGAGATTTAAACCCGCACAGAATCGAGGCTCATTCCCTCCCAGGGTAGACAGACCCCCAACTGTAACTCCACAACTTATGTCTAAGCAAATCACCTGGACTCCATTTATACTGCCAAGGTCGCAGATTTTAATGCAAATCAAGAACAAAATGGAGCTCAGAAGGCCCCTACCCATGCGGAGTCCCCTTACCTCCAGAGATCATGGCAAGTACTGTGACTTCCATCAAGACCACGGGCATACCACGGAGGAATGTCATAGCCTGAAGTCAAAACTGGAGGGCCTAGCTCGGAAAGGCATGCTCAATGAGTACGTCTCTAAAGGGGATCAGCCCAAATTCGTCCAGGAACAGGGACGGCCTCAAGCACCTCGAGAGGCAAGCAACAGGGTCGGCATTGGCTACCAACAAGCACCACCTCCACTCCCCTCACCCTCACGTATCATTCATATGATCACAGGAGGGTTGGAAGCTGGAGGAACGAGCTCAAAACAGCAGAAGTTGTATGTTCGAGAAGTCAAACATCAGAACCAGGTTCAGAAGAGGAAATTTGATGAAACAGATTGGAAGAACCAGCCCATAACCTTCAGCACAGTTGATTTTGATGGTGTTATCACCCCACACAATGATCCACTTGTCACCTCGGTCATTGTTAACAACTGTGAAGTCCACCGCGTCCTTATTGACACAGGAAGCACTCCGGACATAATGTATTATCATTGTTTCGAGAGCCTAGGTCTTGACCCAGATCTTCTACAGAAATATGACGGCCCTATCTACGATTTCAACAATCAACCAGTTCCTGTAGAAGGACTACTCACGCTCAATGTAGCCTTCGGTTCAAGTCGGACATATGTTACCCCATCAGTTCGGTTCTTGGTTGTAAACATGGCATCCTCTTTCAACATTGTCGTCAGAAGGCCAACCTTGACAGAAATCCATGCTGTTGTTTCGCAGTCCCACCTAGGCATGAAATTCCCTACCCCTATAGGAGTGGCAACTCTGAGAGGTAATCAAGAAGTAGCTCGACACTGCTATATGACCTCGGTCACCCTACCTCGAAGAGATAAGCTAGTAACTCCAGCTCTAACTCAGCCAGAGATACCGACCACCCAGCAGGTAATGGGTGTAGAACTGCCAGATTATAGACCCGATGGCAATGCCAGAGCAACCCCAGCAGAAGAGGTGGAAGAAATACAACTTGACCCCAATGACCCCAACAGAAAAACACAGATTGGCACTAAACTCAACCCACAGGAGAGGGAAGAACTCATTCACTTCCTAAAGTCGAACAGGGACGTCTCTGCATGGACCTCGGCAGACATGCTCGGAATACCGACCTCGGTTGCAGTTCATAAGCTCGGCATGAACCCTTTGAAAAAACCTGTAACACAAAAAAGGCGCCTGTCCGGGGGAGAGAGGCTACAAGCAATCAAGGAAGAAGTGCAGAAGCTTTTGCAAGCAGGCTTTATTAGACGGGTGGACTATTGTGAATGGGTTGCCAACCCCGTCCTAGTCAAGAAGTCAAACGGAAAATGGCGGATGTGCATTGATTACACCAATCTAAATGACGCTTGCCCAAAAGATTGCCACCCCTTGCCAAACATAGACAAGCTAGTAGAGGCCGCATCT